GATATTCCCCAGTACACTTACAAGCTGCCCGAATAGGTTGCAGCTGCTACCAAGGGCTAAACACACAAAAACTTCAAAGGTTTCAGGAGTTTCGTCTAAAGTCGTCCTCACCACTGATACCAACGCGCCTAGAAGAGGTCAGACGCCTCATCTGAGTTTTTTCTGTCCTACTTTAACAAAACTTTCAAGTGTTGGAATATTGCAGAATATTGGCCTTCAAATAAGTGAACGATTTGTTTGAATTTCAAATTTTACAACTTTCCCATCTCAGTCAAATATTAATCACTGCGAAGCTGAATATTCATAATGTCATAGGACTCATATAAGCTCTGGTAATAACTTGTCTGATACAGTAGATATCTTATAGAACAACAACACCAAGCTGAAGATGATACATAAGTGATACATTTTGAGTTAGGTGACTGGCACCCAGAGCTAAGCTTGGAGAAGGAAAAGTCGTAATACTTTGCTGTGCAAAAGTATTGGTGTTGAAATTAACCTTCAGCTGGTTAGAAATATTTCGTTTCGCATAGAAGCTGAGTATTTCTGTGCAAAGAAGGAAAATTCCGAATTAGGCTGTTCAATCAGCTCTTCACACCCATTTATCATTCTCATGAAAAAGCATTGGAAGATATTGAATGTTGACTCAGAAACTGTAGGCAACTCATTGTTTCAACACATCTTGTTATCATTATAAAAGGTGATGACACTTTCTGCATAAAAATGGTTCTTATCTAGTAGAGGGGTTCCATATATAGTTTATAACTGCTCAGCAGATAATAAATGAATGAAATGGATAAAGGAATGTAGAAAGTAACAAAGCGAAATTAATGAGTCATTGAATGAATATATGAATGAGTGATCAAAGAAACTGTTTGATTTGATAATGTAAATAAATTTCGATTGGGTTTTCAAATGAATGAATAAATATACCAACTAATTGAATAACCAAGAGTGGATGATTCCATGAAATTACAGTAATTTTTGCAGTATTTATCTTATGAATATCTCTTTTTAAAACATCCAACCCGATAGAACTGTCACTCCAAACCAATGCCGCCAATATCCGCTGCTTTGTTTCTGCCAATCCCACTATTAAGCAATATCTTCGAAGGCTTGTAGATGTTTCTAGAACAGCAAATCGACAATTTTAGCTGCCTTCAGTGAGCCTTAGAAATTTGCAGGTACCTGTTTACGATGTGACCACACACACGTTCTACTTGTCCAAATTGTTTTGCTGCTGGTGTCTTCCATGGCCCAAATGGGCGGAAGTTATCGAAATTTGGAGGATCTTCATCATTTGGGCCTATTTTACCCACATTCCAGTACCTAAAAAATTTCTATACGAATCGTATAGTCGTATATCCTTATGAAAGAGTAACCAAAGCATTTTAGCTTTATCTGTGCTAGTGGTTCCTCCAGTGATTTGCTTCCAATCATAGTAGTTTGTATAGATTCCAGTAGCAATACCGTATTCCTAGAATCATACGATAACAGGTCAGCGAGGATTTTTGAATCCATGGATTCGAAGCATACCTTGGCTTTCGTGGTAATTTGATTGATGAAATCAACATTAGTCTTAGGTTTATCCGGCCAATTGATAGGCGATGTGATCTGTAAATTGTTGTTATGCTAATACTA